GCAATCGCACACAATGATCCCACAATTTTGCCCCAAACGCCGACGGGTCTGTTTTTATCGTTTATCGTGATCGATATCAAATTCATATAATTTCATTTCAGTTGGTTTGCATATCGTGTGTCAAACGAATTTCAATGCGTTTTTTGTTGATTATTTTAAAATTCCAATTTTCATTCAATTTTCCATGAATTTTCCGTTTAAATTTTTTGGGTGTTTGGTATAGGTTAATTTTCGGGTGATATATTTTGGATTTTTATTGGTTTTTTAGATATTTGTTTTTTTTTTTTTTTTTATTACGATTATAATTTTTGATTTTATTTGTTTTGTCGTTTAATTGATTTGAGGTATAGATATATATATATATGTAGATATATATATTTATATATATATGTAAATAGATTTGATTTTTTTTTATTTTTTTATTTTTGTTTGTTTGTTTTGGATGATGCGAGCGATGTTATCGAACGAACGATAAATAAAATGAAAATACAAATATATAAGAAATGTAAAGTAAAACTATCGATTCTTTTTGTCAATTTTAGTTTTTTGGTTATGCTTGAGATACATTTTTGCTTATATTGTATACATATATATAATATATATATATATAATATATATATATAAAACATATATATAATATATATACTATATATATGTATATAAGTATATTGTTTTTCTTGGATTTTTCGATTGCATTATAGATAATGTACGTATACAGATACGAGTATATTTGGTTATAGGCAATAGCAGTAGAAACAGTAAAACGAAATAATAGTTTAGCAAAGAGTACTCGAAATTAGGCACAACACTTAGAACGAGTAGCGTTACGAGTGGTTTTTGGTGAATTCTATATATAAATTTTTTGTTTGGTTTTATAATATTTTTACTTTTATTTATATTTTTGTTTTTGCATAGGCTTTGGGTTAGGGTTTCCTTTTTTGTTGTTGTTATATATAAATATATATTCATATATAACGGCATAGTTGTCTGTGTGTGTGTGTATGTGTTTGAGTGTATTGATGTGTCTGTGCGCGTGTGTATATACATATGCAATATAACACTATAACGGGCGAGTTATACAGGTGCACAACGTGTTAAACAGGGTGCAAGAGTGATAGGAACAGAAAGAAATAGACAGAGCGAGAGAAAGAGAGAGAGCGAGAGAGCGAGACAAAGGACAGTGAAAGAGAGAAAGAGGAAGCAGAAAGTTGTGTTTGTTTGTGTGTGTGTTTCTGTTACGAAATTTCTTGTGACAGAACTACTCAAAGTTAGGCGCAACTTTTAGGCGGGGGCGTGGGCCGGAGGGGCGGTTGGGTGTTCTTAGGTTGTTTGGACGACAGTAGCATGTGGTAAGTAGCGGTTGCTCTATTGCACGAGCAGCGGCAGATTGTTTTGGCATAGTTTGAAGGCGTTGGATTAGGAGTTGACGACTTGGGTATTAGGCACGGTTACGGCTGACTAACTTTGTGCGCGCGTGTGCATGTGTGTGTGTGTGTGTGGTGGGCGGGAGCTGGCTGTGGGTGGGGCTGTGTCTGTGTTATTTTGCTCCTTGGCATAGGCATTTGGCATATATATGAAGGACATGCAGCATGCGTTCGATAAGAGCAGAGCTAAAATAATATTGCGCAACATGTGTTATTGTATCGATTTGTCTATCGATAAATCAATCGATTCGCTATAGCCACGGCCAGGCAGTTGCTGCTGCGACAAGCATGGCTTGGCATGCTGCACTATATACGCAAGTCGAGTTAGATAAAATACTTTCAACTGCAATTGTATATAAATGCATGTAGGTTGATATGGAATTCAGATGAGGCTATCGAGTTAAGTTATCGATAACTAGACACTGCATGAGATGCTTCTGTCTGTGTTAGTGTGTGTGTGTGTGTGTGGCTGGGTTTATTTTACTGGTTTCTTAGTTTGGACTTTATGTGAACTAAACAACGACACAACGTTACATCGATAATGAATAGAAAAACTGATTAAATAGAGCTTTTCTAAACACTTTTCGTTTAATTGATGTCGCTTAAGGCTGTCGTTGAATTGAACCATAATAGAACAGAACGGTACGCAACGGAACGAAATGGAACGGAACGGTAATAGAATGCTTTGGCAACACAAAATTGTATTAAGTAGACGGTTAGAGGTACATAGACAGGTAAATAAGTGTGTGTATATAGAATATACCAAAAGTAAACGAAACGAAACGAAATGGAAATGAAACAAAACGAAGTGGAATGGAACATAATAGCGTAACGAGTCAAATCAAGTTTAGCAATCGCAAATCAAAACCAGAATACGTAACGCATAAAGCAAACGAATCTTGAAAAGCCTCTTCTTCTGCAACTTTTGGATAAATTGAGTATTGTGAGATTTGGTTAGTTTGTGATAAGAAGTAACTAAAGAGCTTGGCTTAGCGAAACAGTTAATAAGTAAATGACAACACTTGAGCGCAATTAGCACGCACGTTAAACGAACGAAAGAATTGTAAGTGTAATGGAAATCAAACTCAGAATTGAAAAGAAAATCGTAAAGTCGAACGTAAACAGAATCGTAATCAGAAAAGTTAGAATTGTAATTGTATAGATTTGCATACGTCATGTCACCATATCCAACGGTGGTCATGGTAACGACTGCCCACCAAAATGCATCGGGTATGGACTTGAAGAAGGAATTTTCGCTTCCAGCTTCCGCAAAATAAACCGCTGATGAGAAGAGTACGACGCCTAAAAAAATTGATGGGAGAAAGTGCTTTGCATTGGTTCCGACTCGATAAATTCATAAACATAAGTTCTTTTTTCTTTTTTTTTGTTCTGTATCAAATTAATATTATTTTTATTATTTTTTTTTGATTAAAAAATTAATTTTTTTTTTTTTTTTGTTAAATTAAAATATATTTGAAATGAAAATAGTTTTGTTTATTGGAGATTCGGCTTGGCGTCCGGGCAAGTCCTTGTCTGTGAATCAAAGTCTCAGGCTGGATACGTATGAACGGTCCGGCAGATAATTCTTTCTCAACGTGTAACTAGGTATATATATATATGTGTGTGTCTGTATGTGTGAATGTGTGTCTGTTCTGTAGAGCGTGCTATGCAATGAGTTAACGGACTAGCTGATGAGCCGGCTAAATAGCGGACAAAGCGGAACAAAGTTTACAACTGAGTCCGGAACCGGAACCGGTGCCGGAACGCTATGACATTTATAGTTATGGCTGCAACGCCACTGCATAGCATGCTTTTCAGTTCGTTAGACGCCTAGAATGAGCGAAATGTGTGTCAGTGTAGTAGAGAAAGAGTTTTGGAGTCTATGCAAAAATAAACTGAGCCACGACAGTCCCAAGCAGAAAAGAAACGAGTGGGCAGCACTGTTCAAGAGCAATTAATCAAATTCTGGTTTCCGGTGTGCCAAGCCCCTGGGTCTAGAAATATGGTGATATTACAGTCTGAAGAGCATAAAGAGAACGACAACGATGACGACGACGACGACGACGACGACGATGACGATTGCGATGACGATGACGATGACGACGGTCACGACGACGATGACGATATGAATTTGAGTTCAAGTGTTGAGTGTTTTATTTGTTTTGTGTTTGGCATTCGACTATGAATGGTTAGTTAATTATTCTGCTTGGGGGACATTTGGAAAAAATCAAAAAGGTCACGAGACAAACGAAATGGAAGAGCACGAGAGAAAAAATTGAAGTGCAGAACATGCCAAAAAAGAGTTCAAGTAACAAAAGAGCAAACGAAACACAGAACTGGAAAGTAAATCAAAAACCAAAAATCTACAGAAAACCAAAAAATTATACAAAAATTAACTAATTAAAAGACAATATTGAAAAAATGAAGAATGAAAAAAGTGCCTGGTTAATGACATCGTTTTATAGACCAAGTAAACGACGAGGACACACAGAGTGAAAGTGAAGGGGAAAAAGAGCAGGACAGAGAGCGCGAGAGAGCGATGAGGAGCATGGATTACAACGAGCGATCACAACAACAAAATACGACAAGGAACAGAAATAAGGCTATACAAGGCACAGACAATACGATAAGAAGATACAGTTATGGATACACAGAGCATAGTTATAGATACAGAACTTGTTATATATAATGTAAGTAGTAGTAGGTAGTTAAGACATATATAGTAAGGTATTTATATACATATTTGCACAGGAAGAATATGACGGACTGAATCGATACCTAGCTGTAGGGACTTCTTAAAATACTCGTTTTATCAGAGACACAGTTAAATAAGAGCTGAGATGGGATAGAGAGATGAATAAAGTTTGCATTTGTAAAAATAAAAATATAAATTAAAACAATGAAGTCAGAGAATACTATTAATCTCTCGGATTTGCAGGAGACCATAAGCGAATAAAGGAAATTTCGATATGTGAAAGGCTATTAGGAATTGATAAGAACTCTATGAGCTGCATATGCGATTTTTATTCTCTGGGATATACTGGAGACACTAGAAGATATATAAATAAAGATAGACCGACAGAGAGAGAGAGAGAGAGAGAGAGAGAGAGGGGAGATTTAAAAATGACATGAGTTTGACTTATTCTCCTAAATATATATTCATTTGATAGTGAGTAACTTAACGGACATGACATGATGAGAGAGAGAGAGGAAGAGAGATAGAATTAATATACAAAAAGGGACAGAAACATGTATATAATATAAACAAAGAAAAAATGACAGAAAAGAGAGAAGACAGAGAGAAGACGAAGAAGAGATAGAGAGAGGTAGATAGAGGTAGAGATAGAAAGGAAATAGGGAAGGAAGCAATAGAGATAGAGCAAGAGACACCGCTAGAGTAGCTGTAGCGTTATACAATACACGGAGAGCAGTTAATAACTTGGTTAGTTGAGTAGACACACAAATAAGGCAGCACAGTTGTTATTAGAGTTGGTATTTTGTTGTTGTTGGTATTTTGTTGTTGCTATTGTTATCAATTTTGGATTTGGAGATGTTGATGTAAGTTTTAAGTTGTACCTCATATCACCATATCCCACCGTAGTCATGGTCACCACGGCCCACCAGAATCCGTCGGGTATGGACTTGAAAAAGGAACTTTCGCTGCCAGCCTCCGCGAAATAAACGGCCGATGAGAATAGTACAACGCCTGGGCGCAATTTCAAACAGAGATCAGGCGATAGATTAGTTTCAGTTTAATTAAATATTATATATATATATTAATATACACATATATGTATGTTGAGTGGAATATAAACAAAAATTATGATATTGACAATAATAATAATAATGGTATGGAAAGACAGGCAGAGAGAAAGGCAGAGAGAGAGACAGACATAGAGGTAGATATATAGATAGAGATAGAGAGAGAGAGTATATTTCAGTTAGTTTTCTGCTTGGGTCTGAGCTCGTTTTTACCTGATGGGAACTGTTTAATATATAAATATCAACATATATACATAAATATATATGTGACTGAGAGTAACCCCAAGTGTACAGTATGTATAGAGTGCTCGCTAGTCGGCTATAAGCGACTAGGAATTCATTTGAATTTATGAATAGTTTTAGTACTATATGGTGTGTGTATTCGAAAAAAAAAAAATGATTATAGAGAGAGAGAGAGAGAGAGTGCGAGTGTTTACTTTGATATTATTCTGTGCACAAACTATAAAAAGGTGTTACAAAAAGACATTTTGCAATGTAAAATAAAGTGTTAAAAAAAAAAAAAAAAAAACAGTTTGGATCACTTAATTATTTCGCTTTAGAAAGTAAGTCTGTTTATGTCGGTTGTTTTAGGTTATACAGGTAAATAAGTGTGTGAAAGAGTGTGTGTGTTCTTTTTCATAGATCGCAAAATATTACAAATCGAAAAAAAGGGAAATGCTCACAACGAAAGTCTTCGGCTCAGACCGAAGGTTCAGTGCACAAATGTTGAGAAACAACCGAAAGAAACTCTACGATTTGGCTAACATTTGTGCAATATATAGGCTGATCAGCGGGAGAGGCAAATGACAAGTTATCGATCTATCGATCAATCGATTTGCTTGGCGTTCTTTTTTTTTCGTTTAATGTTAGGTTAGTATTGCTTCTAAGTTGTTGCAGCTAACTATAGTATCTAGTATATTAAGACATTATTTAGTAATCTTTTGGTAATATTTTTGCTGTCGGTATTTTTTTTTTTTTTTTTTTTTCATAATTGTATAGGAAAACAGAGAAATTATCTAGATAATTACTTTGTACAGTACGAAATACATATATAAATATATTAGTTAGTATGATATATGTATAGGTATATATATAGGTATATTAAATATATACTACACTACGGCAAGCCAAATGATATTCGAAATAAAAGAATAAAATATTTATATAGAGAATATGTTGTTGCTATGCATATCAATTTGGCCGCATCATCAGTGAAGAAATATCTCTCCATAAGCGCTCTAGAATTTCCGTTCTCTTGTGAGTTCTGTAAAGTTATTCTAAACTAGTTAATAATATATGTATTTTTATGTAGGTATAATTAGAGATGCATAGCAGGCGCTAGTACTTAACCAACTATCCTGCCATTTGATTTTAGCCACAAGAAATGAACACCAAATATAAAAAAAAAATATGTTAAATGAAACGATAGTCAAACACAGACAAAACTCAACTCGAACGCAAACTCAAAGACCTCGCTTGAGATAACCTTGGTTTTATTTATTTATTTTTTTTTGTTTTGTTTTTTTTTTTTTTTTGTTAGTTTTTCTTGTTAATCATATTTAAGTAGGCGATATACTATATATATCATATATACATTGAGTGGTAAGTATTTATTAGTCAACGTATACAACAACAAACTATAAAACTAAATGAAAGCCAAAGAAACAACATCAAAAACAACGTAGGTGAAGTTACGGTTACAAATACGATAACGATTACGATAACGAGTACGGTTACGAATACGATTATTACGATTACGATTACGGTTACGTTTACGTAATGCGAAACAAGTTGGTTATGTTAATAACGTGAACAACAATACACAAAATATATATATATATATGTTTATAGGTAGAGTATATGTTATAAAAAATATTCTTTACTTTTTTAGTTTTTGAAAAACTCTCATTTGAATTTAGGTTTTTGCTAAGATTGGCAGTATTTTTCTAGTATTTTGCTAGCGTTTTTCTAATATTTTTGCTAGTATTTTCTAGTGTTTTTTAGTTTGTGTCATCTTGGACAATTCGACGCAAAGAAGATTGCCAATTTTAAGGCATATTGTCCGCAGTTTGTGCAGAAAAGAAAGACAAAGACTATAAGATATGAAAATGAATTGGGGTTGATGATGGTGAAAATAAAGCTAAGATCGAAAAATATAGTACAGATGATTATAGATTGTTATAGATGGAGTTAAAGTTAAATAGAGTATTATACTGCAACAAAATACGTATGAACCTTAAAATTGCCAACGACTTTAGCGGTTGGGGCGTTCATATAAAAACCATAAAAATCGTGTTTTTACACTGTCAAAGTATATCAGGAGTAATAGACTAAAATTCGAGTACATTGACATTAGATTTGTTTTCTAGCCAAAAGACGATGGAAAAAAATGTTTAAGTTGGCATACATACAATGTATTTGTATGTATGTAGGTATATATCGATTTAACTGTTACGTTTACTGATACCAATACTGTTATCGACTAGCTAAAATCTTTTCCGGACCCAAAAATTAACAAATAAATCAAAATTAAAATATACATACATATAAATAAAAATAAACATCGAGACGGGATATTTTATCATTTGTTGTTACTATTACTTAAGCTAATTAGTAGACGACAATATTGTATACTATATATGTATATTCGTAGCGGGTAATTACACATACATCATATATCTCTCTATAAATATGGAGATATTACGCTCTAGAGGCGCCTAAGTATTGTATATGCTGCATCTGGTATTTAATCTATATAAGCTACTCGTATACTAAGTAGTTGGGTTTCGTATAGTTTAGTTTTAGTTTTAGTATTAGTTAGGTATATAAATAGTATAGATCGTATGTTGTATAGACATGTTTTATTCTTGATGGTATTTGCATGTATACGTAAAATATACTGTAGTTGCTAGGTAATAATTAGCAATAACTAGACTTGTAGAGTAGATTACTTTAATGTAATGTTTACTTTAGTTTAGCTTGTATATGGTAAAATAAATATATCTATATGTTGTATATATAGATAGCTCATCATATGGATCCTACGTAAAAGTATATATGGGTAACTTATTCAAAAATACTGGCAGACAGATAAGATCAGTCGTTGGAAAAAGATGATCTTGAATGCGATGGAGCTTCGGTTTTGGGATTTGGATAATTGAAATGACAAATGAAAATTGTTAAAAAGCATATAAATCGACTTAGTATATCAGCTCAATTTGATATCGAGCAAAATTTTCGTTTTGTTTTTTTTTCATGAGTATTTGTATTTTGTGTTTTAAACAAATAGTGAGGAGTTCAAAAATGTGCTGGCTTTTTGTTTGTTATGTACTTAAATTATATGATGTATAAATATTTAAAAGTTTACTGTAGCTGTATTTTTGTTTGTATCTCTTGGTATTTTTAAAGCAGGATTTAAAAAAATAAATAAATGTTTCCTGGTATTCTTAAGGGGTAAATTGGTCGGGTCTGAATTGTTGTTGGAGTGGGTTCGTTAGAGTATAGGTCGCTCGTCGTAAAAGTCATTATTTAGTATCAAAAATAGTTGTTGTTGTCGTTGTCGTTGTAAGTTAACAGTTTGGTATAAAAATATGTATACAAAGTATATGTATGTGTGAGTATATGTTTAGCTGTTGTGCTTTCTTTTTTTTTTTTTTTTTTTTTTTTTGGTTTTGTTGGCTGCTTTGTTGTTAACTTACCTATAAATAAGAAAAATATAAGTAAACCTAATTCCCGCATTGAGGCTTTCAGAGTTCGTCCTAATATTTGTAAACCCTTCGAATGCCTAGATAACTTAAATATTCGAAATACTCGAACTAATCGTATCACTCGTAATATTGCCAAGGACATAGCCTGATTCGATGACTTGTCCTAAAAATTTATAATTATTTATAGATTTGTAGATTGAGATGTATGCAACAGGTTGTTTTGATAAGAAGGTAGTTCATATAGATAAGATGTATGTAAATACACATATGTATATATATATGCAAAAAGAGAATGTACATATATATATACATGTATGTGTATGTTTGTGTGTGGGAGAAAGTGTGTGCCACGAATTAATCGCTTCGATTTGTGTCTCGAGTATTTGATTTTAGTTAGAGTTAGTTAGTAGTTAATGTACAACAATGATTCGTACTGTAATACGATATTGCAAGAGCACTAGGATAGGCATTTATAGGTAAGTAGTATATATATCAAGTATATTACGTAGGCAGAAGCATTGCTATCAAATCATAAGCTGATTACATATTTAGGTATTCGTATATGTATATGTTCAATGTTTCTCGCAGTTGAGCACATTCATATGGTAAATATATAATTTTAAGAGAGAAATCATAAAGTTTCAAGGCAGGCAGTTCATTTATTACTTATCAACAACAAAAGAAAAACAAAAAAAGAGATTAGTTTCGCAATTTTTTCTATGAAAGAAATTTGGTATTTTTTCTTTCTTCTTTTCGAAACAGAAAAACATATTAAACATAACACAAATGCAGTTTATTATTCAATTTGTATTTTTTAATATGTACAATGACATGTTTTGTCGTGTGTGTTTGTGTGTGTGTGTGTGTGTGTGTGGGTGTGATTTAGCTTTACAGTTTTGGCCAAACAAAAATCTCATACCTGTGGACTGACTGGCGCTTTTGGAAGATTTAACGTATCCTCCTCTTCGGCAACGACAGTCGCTAGTGTTATAAAGTACGGAATGATGGCGATTATGTCGATAACATTCATGACATCCCTGCAGAAATTTAATTTGTTCGGACATGCGAGGAACCTGCGCGGTCACAACACAAAAAAAAAATATAAAACAGAAAAGAACAGAAAATTGTACCAACGCGTTTCGACAGAGACGTCAAAGAAACACAAATACACAGAGAGAGATAGAGAGAGAGAGAGCGAGAACGAGAAAGAAAAAGGGAGAAAGAGAGAGAGAGAAATAGTGAGAGCGAGAGACAAATATAATATGATTAAGAGTAATACAGTGTGGAAAAGAAGAAGCAAAAAAAGAAAACGTACAAATATATTACATATATATATCAAGATGTTCTATCCATTGTATGCAAATTTATTTAGATCTAACTAGATATTATAATAAATCAATCAAAAATAATTTAGCCAAACTTGGTCTCCTTTAAACGTCAAAAATTTGTTATTTAGTTAAGTTCCCTTTGAGCCTTGAATATCCAACAACTGCTTGTGTACAAGAGTAATTTAGTTTCGAAATCAAAAATTTAGTTCCAGATCTAGGATGCAGACGCCCATTAATGTAGCCCTCATTGAGTTGTGGATCACCACGAAACGATTCTAGGTCTTATTAACTGATTTATGGATAGGTTAGTGTGTTCTTAATGCAAATTCATACCTGACAGTTAGTTCAAATGTAAACCAAATAATACATAACGTTTCTATAAGGAAGAAAGGATCTGTGATGTCAGGCACCTCGTCCTCCTCGATTTTTGTGCCATTTGTTGTTGTATTGAACACCTGCAGAAGACAAACAAGCAAAAAACAAAAAACACACAAAAACAGAGAAAATGTCAAGCGATTTTAATAACAATTAGAGTCAGTTATAAATATTGGAGTAGCGTTTGGATGCTATGCTCGTCTGGTACGTACCTTGTAATGCTTAAATTCGGGTAATGTTTCTAGACAAAATATAACAATTGATAGCAATATAACAAATACACTAATTATGGCTACAACTCTGGCGGCTTGCGAGCTCTCTGGGTACTCAAAGAGCAGCCAGACTTTTCTTTGTTTCTCATTATCCGGTAATGGTCTTTCTTCCTCTTTAATAAAGCCTTCATCCTCTCTGCATGGGAAGATAATAAAAGATTATCGGTGGTTAGCGACATTCGTATATATACATATATATGCAATGTGGTGTATGTGTGTGTGTGTGTGTGTTGAAGCTTTCTGAAAGCTCATTTCGACTTGTCTTGGTGTTAGCCCTAAGCAGCATTTTGGTTTGGCAGCCAATCGCGGAGCTCTACAATTGCTGTGTACAAATTCAAATCAATCGCTTATCGATAAGTCGCAAAATCAATAACATAATATTGGGTCGAAATGATAAACATGAAGCGTTGCGTTGTGTTTTAAGTTTGATACGGTGCCATTTGAGTCTACGCTTAACTTCCGGCTTGTTATCTGGCTTCCTCCTCATCATCTTTGCTCCGGTTTGGCTTAAGCGACGCCGGCCACAGTGCCCCCTTTTATTGCCATATGAACAAAATTTTAAGCTGGTGGTCAAGTGATTAACAAGTGATTCGACAACGGCCTCGAGCTTTCATACTCTTTCGTTCGTTCTATTGTCATTGTGCAGCTGTCGAGTGTATGCGTGCGTGTATGTGTTTCTGCGTGCGAGTGTGTGTGTGTATTGGTCCTTCTCCCTTTCTCTGTATACGTCCTCTGTGTATTTCCTTTGTTTAATTCAATCCGCATGAAAGCCACAAAGTATGCAAAGCGTTCAATAATTGCCTACTGAAGTCGCTTGAATGAGAAGCCACAGATTTCAATACGTAGTAACAACAACAGGTTTAACAATAAGTATAGCTGCTATAAGGGTACGTCTGTGTGTGTGTGCGTGAGATATTTCTCGTTTTATAATATGAACTCAAAATTGTGGCTCTAAATGTGGCATTCGAATAGCTGAGCTCAGGTGAAAGGAGTGTAGAGACAACGTAGTAATTTAAATACATTCGTTTTCCCCTTTTGTGAACTATTCACTATTTATGTTCTCAGTGACTCACACTTCAAGTTTCTTAAGGGCAAAGGAGCGAGTAAACATAAATAACAGGCGTGTCACACTTCCAAGGTGCATGCCAAATAATATATAGTATATATATATAGTATATATGTATGTATATACATATATCATGTTCAGTATTTAGTTCTTCAATATAGACTAATTTACAAAATATATTATATTAAGAATGAATAACATTTTATTCCAATTATGGAATAATACCATTAATTTATGGTAACAGAAAACGTAGTATAACGCCTTCTTTCATTTCCAAATAATAATTATTGTATGGCATATAAACACCATGTCATATATGTCGTGTTCCGATCTCCACTTCATTTCACATTTATCATTAAAAATTGGGGAATGTTAATGCATGCACTGTTTGATTTTTAGTGTTCCATTCCCTTGTTTCATTATTAAAACGGTCTTGGTTTCGTATGCCACATGTTCCATTCTTATGTTTCATATATATAAAAACTACTTCATTTCACTTGTTATACTTCGAATACCACGTCTCGTATATTCATATAAGTTCTATATGACATGCTATGTTTTACTTAATGTGTTCCATTCTCATATTCCGCAAAGAAAAAAATTATTTCAGGTATGACGAGTTTGTTTTATTTATTATATTTCACTCTCATGTTTCACAGAACAATAACACTTCCATTCTCTCTCTATAATTGAAATACTACGTCTTATATCGTAAATATATATGGTATACGCATGTCATGATTTTCATGTTCCATTCTCTTGTTTTAAATAACTAAACTCTTGCAGTTGATTCGGCATGTATCAAATGCCACGTTTCATATATCACATCTGGTTTTTATACATGCCCTGTTTTCTGTCATGTTTCATTCCCGTGTTTCGTATATCATTTAACCCAAATATATGCCCTGTTTCGAATGCCACATTCCATGTGCACTACGATATGTTACTATGCAAGACATTTAATAGATAATAACAAGAGGCTTTTGGGATATGTATGCTCAAATGTGTCACTTTCAAAGACGTTCCCATGCTACACACATATGTACATATATTATATAATCAATATTTTTTAATATAGTTTAGTGTGCAAAGGTGTAAAGTGGAAGTAGAACTGATATTCTACTCAAATAATCAGATCATGCATATATCAAATACTGTTGCGGTCTAATGTGCAATATATTTGTTAGTTCGTCTGTTTCTGTGTGTGTGGGAGCGTGTGTGTGTGTGTCTGTTGTCTTGCGTGTCAGGTAACTAGGTGCCGTGTTGCATGCCTTGTGGGAAAGGAGCTTGGGTCAACAATTAGCTGCCGCCAATGAGCAAAACCAATTCGCTTTTAGCTGCATTTCAGTTTTTGAGTAAATCTTCATCTGTGTTTGTTGTTTTTAATTTTAACTGTGTAGAAAACAAGTGGGAAAGCTTTAGATGAGAATGCCCGACTCAAAGATGCGAAGCTACCATGACTGTGAATAGCAGTCCGTGCCCTTCAAAAATATTTCGAAGAAATTAAGGAAAAAAGAGATTGAAAAAAAAAAAAAACATTTGTTTTTTTTTTATAAAAAATTTAAAAATTATTTTGGAAGTTTTTTGTATTAGTTTCAAGATTTATTACAACAAAAATTTTACTTTTAGTTTTTCCAATCTTAAAATTTAAAGCGAAAGTGCATTAGATAGGGTATTTTTCAGTCGGGCTACTAAAGCATGCTCACTTGTTTCGTTGTATTTTTATTATAAATTGTTTTGGAATTTTTGTAGTTTTTGCTTTTAGTTTTGTAATTTTTTGTTTTAGTTGGGTACATTTATGGGGCAACCGGCTTACCTGAATTTATTAATTGCTTGATCACCTAATTCATAAAATTTTATTTCTTCACTAAATACGTCTAAAGGGACATTGACCGGTCTCCGTAGTCGGCCACCTGTGAAGTAAACGCAAGCGAATCGTAATCGTGTTGCATGCGTGTATGTGTGTATGATGGGCGTGGCATGTTGTATACAGAGAGTGGATGTTTGGTTTGTTGACATTGGTATGTGGTATGTGGTACGTGGGAGAAGAGAAGAGTAAAAGTGAAAAGACATTAGAGAATCGTTCGACAAAAGTAAATGGCACCTCAGTTGGTATTCTACTCATCTGGCTGGCAACTTACCACTCTGATAATAGTATAAAATCGCATCGAAGCTCGGACGACTACGGTCAAAAAAATATTCATTTCTAAGCGGGTCAAAGTACCGTAATCTTCGAGCTGGATCCCCAAGCAGTGTGTCCGGGAACTGATTTAGCGTACGCAGTTGTGTTTCAAACCTTAACCCGCTTACCTGAAATGTAAGCAATAACGCTTGTGCTATATGAATTGGTTGACTGGACCGATCGGGTACTTACATTTATAACGACTCTCTCGCAGAAATCATGATCGTGAGGAATGGGTTCAAAGTGTTGTGGTCCGCCACCAAAGCCATGACCAGCCCCCCCTTCTTCGTCTTGACTGCTCAATTTGGGCAAAGACCTGTTGATGAAACCAGACGAAATTATTTAATTAGATATGTTACTTAGGAGGATTGACTTAACAGCCTACGAAATAAACAGCATCGTGCAAAGACAGAGTGTTTATTCTACGAACTATAAGTAACGATAAGAGAAAGAGGGAGATATGGGCACATTAAAATAATGGTAGAGTGAAGAGACGTGGAGCAAGAAAGAGAGAGAGACATAGAGAGACAGAAAGAAGAGGAAGTGAGATGGGAAATATTCAGAAGGTGAAGGAAAGAGAATAAAAAGGGTTATAGAGAGGAAAAGATAGAGAAAGAGACTGAGAGAGAGAGAGAGAGAGAGAAAAGAGAAAGGGGAGTGAAAAGTAGAGTAGAGGTGATATAGAGAGGAGTAAAGAGATATAAGGGACAAATAAGAGAGTGGAAGAGAGACCGAGAGAAAGGGGAAGAGAGAGGGGGTGATAAAGGGAGGGAGAGAGGGCAGATGAAGACTCTCAGAATGTGGGAAGAGAAGAGAGAAATAGAATGAGCAAATCTGAGGGGAAAATATGAAACCAGACGTGCACAAAAGGAGACTGATATAAAAGGACAGAGTTGTATCGTGAATAAGTCCAAGCAAGACAGAGATAGAGATATGAACGTTGTCTCTCTTTATATAATTTTCTCACTTTAAATCCTAATTGTCTGTCTGCCTTGATTTCTACTTATAAAGAGGGAGCGACAGAGATGGACAGAGCTGATCGGACTGAGATTTGGCCAGAGGAAAGGAAATGCTTAGCTTTAGCCGTAGCAGCGTATCCACAGAATCCATTGTGAATGCGGCAACTAAAGTGAACAATCTAACTGCTGCAGCCATTTTTTAGCTAGACAGCCCAAGGCGAATGGGACGGGAGGAGATGAAGCTGTTATTTGTATGGAGTATAAATCTGTTGCCTAAGCGATGAGTCTGAGATGGTTTTTTCAGCTGTCGCCCCAATTAAAGATACTTTTTCCAGCATCTGCTGCTAAGTCGCAAGTGACGCGCAGGGAAAACCTGTCGGATTTATTTGACTACAGAAAGGCAAATAAACGGATAGAAATCGGGCGTGCATTCAGCCAGCCCTCCAGCCAGTTAAAACTTGGGCTGGGCTACTCACTCTGATAGGTTCCTTGGGCGACAGCTCCAAGCTGCGGCTTAAAAAGTATTTACAAGTACTTAACTCTCAAGAAATTCACAGATATTTGTCATGAAGCGAGCCAATTGGATTATATATTTAAATTTGCTTGGGAGTCCAAAGCAGCAGCAAAATGTGAAACTGAATTTCAATTTGAATTTGAAGCAAAGCGAAGCGAGCTGAGGCTAAAGTCAAAGCAGATGCTGATGCTTGATCTGAAGCTGAAGCACTTTGACAATCGTCTGTGCTTGTCACACATTTTTGTACAAATATTTCGTTTGTTCGTATGTGCGGAGGCTTTGCCCCTATTTGTCAACTCAATCTATTAAAACGAATGTCAGAAATTGGAATTTGTTTTGAGTGAATTCCGTATGCAGAATGAAATATGCACGAGCTGCATTATGCAGCAATCAAATCAAATGCTGAGCTGTAATTGATATTTGATGTTTGATATTTGATGGGCTGTGCGGTATTTACCGTTTAGTTGTTATTCATTTGGCTTTGCCTTTGGCTTTTGGGGCATGCAGTGTGGCAAGCCGCACCTGCAGCAGTCTCATCCCCAGCCCCAACCCCAACCCCAAACCCAGCCCCAACCGCAGTCACATGTGGCATACCGAGGCCCATTGAAAACCATTTAATGCGCATTCAACTGGCGGAAAATAGCAATACTTTTTGGCCCAATGCCCTGCCACACGCCACATGCCACACACTCCCGCACACCTGCACACCCACAATCACACACACATAACTCTACCTCCTGCACTTGCTGTTGCTGCTGCTGTTGCTGGTCTTGAGCCCGCGGCAGCACAGGAAGGCAATAAATGTTTACACATGTAATTGAAATTGTATTACAATCCACATAGATATGCCCACTCACTACACATATATATACATATGCATGCACATATATATATATATCTTGCAGCTATAGTGAAAGGCGTTGCATATGAGGAGGCGCCACGGCTGGCAAAGTGCCCAAAATGGCAGCCAAAAGAATTTTATGCAGCCTTTCGCCCTTATCGCTGATGTTGCCAACAACGTGCAGCTGTTTTCCCTGTTTTCATTTTTTTCGAGCTGCGGGTGTCCGGCCAGGCAATCCTTTGATACCCTGCACACATGCAAAGGTTTATCGAATTCTTAAATTGAAATTACAAGTGAAATTGCCCTTTTATCTTACAATAGCTCAACATTTATTAAGCCATAAACTATAGACGAACTAAGAAAGAGATGTGAAGAACGAGTGCTAAAGTAAGTGAATGCAGAAGAGCTCGACGTCTGGCCAAGTCAAGAGAGCATCGATCAAAGCAGAGCTGTGGCTGTGGTGGCATCAAATTTAAAATAGATTCTGAAGCTGTGCCAGCATCTCGTTGATTCCTTGCTATGCAGGGGCCCAGCCATAATAGATAACAATGGATTTCGAAATAAATATCAGACAAAAAAAAAAAAATATTAATAAATAAATAAATTAAATGAAATTAATAAATAAAATAAAAGGTTAAGTATAATATATGAACTTAAGTCTAACGTCAAATAGTTTTTCTCTGATTTCAGCAGCCACTACTATTTTCAAATAAAAATGAATAAATAAATAGCAAAAAAAAAAATAATAATAATAATAAAATCAAAATAATAATAATAATAAAAATAAAATAAAATGATATGAATTTTATTTAAAAAATAGATAAAATAAGAGTTAAAAATAAAATACATGTAAAATAATAGAAATTTATTAAAAAAGATGCTTATCTTCATATTCGCATCGAACTGTTTTTAAATTGTTTTATTTATTACTAAACAAATTTTTTTCCCAATTTATGACGTAAAACTGAATGATGGATAAAGTATCTTACTATTGGGGAGATTTGATTAAAAGCTTAATTTATGACTTTTTATTATGAACTGAATTCTTGGTCATTATGGAATATGATAAAGCTAAGATTTGCAGAATGGTAAACAGAAAGACAGGCAAATGCAGCTAAACAGGTGATTGCTGCTACATCGGAGAATGTTGTAATTGTAATTGTTTTATTTATTAATTTAACCACAAAAATTGTTATGTTGTATACTAACTTTAAAGTGCAAACGAAAAAGGAAAATACAATATATGCATATGTGTACATTCACTCATCGACCATCATTCGTAGGGTATATGTGGCCGTTGAGCAGATGCCGCTTAAATGTCTTCTTTCTCAATTTTTGGCTATCGAGGCGTTGTTGCATGGCATGTTGTCTGCCATTGGGCGGGGGGTATTTAATTAAGCGTGTAAGTGCACGGTCGGCGGTGCCAGAAATGACAGACGAGCCGAAAATCGCCAGGCAAACCAGCAATCCAGCAAGTGAAACACCTGCCCACGCCCCACCACCCACGCCCCAGGCATGGAGGCGTTTGGATGGCTTAATAATTTGGCCACATAATTGCATATTTGATGACTCGCATAGATACACAGCTCCACTTGCCACAGACACGATGGGCGTGCTAGGCGTGGGCGTTAGTGTGAGGCAACGAAATGCAATTCTGCATAATTGAGATGCCAACTGAGCCGAACACTTGGCCAAGCGGCAACGCCTGTGACTGACTAGGCCGACTGACTGACTAGTCGACTGGGCGCGATGCTAACTCAGTTTTGAGGTTATGCTGCATGCGTGTCGCGTTGCGTGTTGCATGTTGCATTGCGCATGACGTCAGCGTCACACGTCAACTGGCATACATATGTATATGTGTGCGCGTGTGTGTGTGTGTGTGTGTGCGTGTGTGTGTGTGTGTTGTTTGTGCCGCCTTATATTTTGCCATAAGCACAATCTGTGCATACGGATAATTAAGCACAGGCGACAGCGGTCAGGCAGACACACACACACACACACACACACACGAGTTGCGTTTTCACGGAGTGCGGTCGATGTCATCGTGGTCCATCGTAGACAATAGCTTGAACTGTGTTTTCCCCTGTGAAAGTGGAAAGAACTGAAGTCAACGTGTTTGCTGTGGGCGCGGCGTACCCAGCGACCTCAAAAAACTACCAGAGACTTACTGCGCGGCGGTTCGTGGAATTCCCAAGCGGTATAATTCGGTGGTGCAAGAGAGGGGGGCGATAGCGTCAGTGTTTTGGCGTCAGGGCTTCTTTCCTTTCCTTGTCTTTTGTGGGCGCGTAAATTTTGTTACTTTAGGCGTCACACTTGCGCAATAAGAAAAATCAGGTGCATTCACTCTAACAGCTGTTAGTAGTGCTGGAAATTGCATCGAGCAATCAGCTGCTCACTAACGTTGGTGAGTTGCTAAGCCTTAGCAAAGACAGCAACCTAGCTGCTGGAGTGAAGTAGCAGTTATTAAAAGTAGTGCATACTTTCGGGCTCTCGCTTTAGTCAAGTTGAGTTTAAGTGATTGCGGGTTGTAAACTCAGATTATTTTAGTAGCCATTGCCCACTACAGGCTTCACGCCGTTGTAGTCGGAGCAGAAATGGATGCCATGATGGAGGACGAGCTGCAAGCTTTTGCGCGTCGTTCCTCGTTGCAGCGATCGCCGCAGCAACAACAGAGGGTGTTGGCGCAGCCGTCGACTTCTAACCAGGCTCCAGTGGCTGAGTGCCAGGCACCCAAGTCACTAAAAGAAGCGTTAGCTCAAATAGGAGCTACACTAGAGGGTCTGTCTGCCTTATTTGGGGGTCAGCGGCATATAAATGCCTTAATGAGAGAGGAGCTGGCTAGGCTGGTCAGCCTTCACAAGACGGCCGAAGCGTTCTGCAACCGTTCGGTTAAAAACTGCGAGGTGCAGACCACGCCACTCAAAGTAGGCGAAAACGTTAAGGCAGCGAGCATTAGTGCTACAGTAGGTAGCAATACTCCCAAGCGGTCGAGGGAAGTTGCC